AAATTTTGAAATTTTTGAAAATCTTTCGAAATTTTGAAAAATTTCTAGTAATTTCTTAAGAATTTTTGAAATTTGGAAAATTTTCGGAAAATTTAGAAATTTAGAAAAATTTTCGAAAATTTGAAAATTCGGAAAATTTTGGAAATTTTTTTGAGAAATTTGAAAATTTTCGGAAAATTTGGGAAAATTTGGAAACTGGTAATTGAAAATTTTTGAAATTTTGGAAAATTTTTGGAAATTTTCTGAAATTTGGGGAAATTTTGAGAATTTGTGGAAATTTTGGAAAAATTTCGAATTTCGAAAATTTTCGGAAATTTTGAAAATTTCGAAAATTTGAAAATGTTTGGAAATTCGAAAATTTTGGAAATTTTTGGAAAAATTGGAAAACTTTCGAAAATTTGGGGAAAAATTGAAAATTTGGGGAAAATTTCTGAAAAATTTGGGGAAAATTTCGAAAATTTGAAAAATTTCGAAAAATTTTGAAAATTTTGAAATGGAAAAATTTTAAAATTTTAAAATTTTAGAAATTTTGAAATTTTCTGAAAATTTTGGAAATTTCTGAAAATTTTTGGAAAAATTTTAAAAATTTCGAAAATTTGGGAAAATTTTTGGAAATTTTGGAAAATTTGGGGAAAATTTTTGAAAAATTTGGGAAAATTTTAGAAATTTTGAGAAAATTTTTGAAAATTTTGAAAATTTTCGAAAATTTTGTAAAATTTTGAAATTTTTGAAATTTTCTGAATTTTGGAATTTTGGAAAATTTTTGAAAATTTTGAAAATTTTAAATTTTCTGAAAATTTTTGGGAAATTTTGAAATTTTTGGAAATTTTCGAAATTTCGGAAATTTTGAAAAAATTTTTGGAAAATTTTGAAAATTTGAAAATTTTCGAAAATTTGGGGAATTTCTGAAAATTTGGGAAAATTTCGGAAAATTTGGGAATATACTCTGAAAATTTGGGAAAATTTTGAAAATTTTTGAAAATTTTGGAAAATTTTGAAAATTTTGGGAAATTTTGGAAAATTTTGAAAAATTTCGAAAATTTTGAAATTTTTGGAAATTTTCGAAAATTTTGGGAAATTTTGAAAATTTTTGGGAAAATTTTGGAAATCTTTTGAAAATTTTCTGAAATTTTTGGGAAATTTTAAAATTTTCGGAAAATTTGAAAATTTGGAAAATTTTTTGAAAATTTGGGAAAAATTTCGAAAATTTGGGAAAAATTTCGAAAATTTGGGAAAATTTTCGAAAATTTGAAAATTTCTGAAAATTTTGAAAATTTTTTGAAAAATTTGGAAAAATTTTGGAAAATTTTGGAAAATTTTAGAAATTTTTTGGAAATTTTCTGAAAATTTTTGAATTTTTGAAAATTTTCGGAAATTTGGGAATTTGGGGAAAATTTTGAAAATTTGGAAATTCGAATTTAAAATTCTTTTCAGAAATTTGACTTGGAAAATTTTGAAATTTTCGAAAATTTTTGGGAAATTTTGGAAAATTTTCGAAAATTTTGTAAAATTTTGGATAATTTGGGAAAATTTGGGAAAAATTCATGAAAATCTAGGAAATTTCTGAAATATCTAGGGAATTTTTGGAAAATCTGGGGACATTTCTGAAAAATCTAGGGAAATTTTTGGAAAATTAGGAAATTTTTGGAAAATCTAGAAATTTTGAAAATTTTGAAATTTTGGAAATTTTTTGAAAATTTCGTTAAATTTTGGAAAATTTTTTGAAAATTTCTGAAAATTTTTGGAAAATTTTGGAAAAATTTCTGAAAATTTCTGAAAATTTTTGCAAAATTTTGGAAAATTTTTGAGAATTTTCTGACAATTTTCTGAAAATTATGGAAAATTTTGGAAAAATTTCTGAAAATTTTTAAAATTTTGGAAAATTTTTGGAAAATTTGTGAAATTTATTGATATTTTTAGAAATTTTCTGAAATTTTTTGAAAATTTTGAAAAATTTGAAATTTTGGAAAATTTTTGGAAAATTTCTGAAAATTTTTCTGAAAATTTTTAAAAACACTCAATTTTGAATGAAAACAGCTCAAAAACACTGCTTATAGTTAGTTTTACTTCTGTCACGGAAAGCAGTGGATTTTAGTTCATTCTATTTTTTCACGGAAAACGCTTGTGTTTACTCAAAAACAGTGTATTTCAGTAAGTTTTACTTCTCACGGAAAATGCTTTTTTTTTCTCCTAAAGAGGCTGATTTTAGTTAGTTTTAGTTCTTCTAGTGAAAACACTCAATTTTGAATAATAACCGTGGAATTCGATATTTTTCTTTATTTCACAAAACAGTGCATTTTCGTTCATATTATTTTTTCACGATAACAGTGTATTTTAGTTCAGATGTTTTTCCACGGAAATCGCACGTTTTCTGTTCAAACACAATGCTTTTAGTTAATTTTACTTCTTGTACTGGAAACACTCAGTTTTTATTCAAAAGTGTATTTTAGTAAGTTTTACTTCAGTCACGGAAAACGCTGTTTTTTGTTAGTTTTTCTTCTAGTGAAAGCACTCAATTTTGAATGAAAACAGTGGAATTCGTTAGTTTTACTTATTTTCATGGAATACGCTTGTTTTCTGCTCAAACACACTGCTTATAGTAAGTTTTACTTCTTGTACTCGAAACACTCAGTTTTTACTAAAAAACTGAATTTCAGTAAGTTTTACTTCTGTTACAGAAACCATTTTTCTGAGAAAAAAGTTTTACTTCTTCTAGGGAAAACACTTAATTTTGAATGAAAACAGTTAGTTTTACTTCTTGTAGTGGAAAACATCAATTTTTACTAAAAAAACAGTGTTCTTTAAGTTTACTTTCATGGAAAACGCTTTTTTTTTCTCCTAAGAAGGCTGTTTTTACTTAGTTTTAGTTCTTCTAGTGAAAACACTCAATTTTGAATAATAACAGTGGAATTCGTTAGTTTTACTTTTTTCTCGGGATACGCTTGTTTTCTGCACAAAACAGTGCATTTTCGTTCATATTATTTTTTCAGGATAAACGTTTGTTTTCTGCTCATAACAGTGTATTTTAGTACACTGATGTTTTTTCACGGAAAACGCACGTTTTCTGTTCAAACACACTGCTTTTAGTTAATTTTACTTCTTGTACTCAAAAACAGTGAAGTTCAGTAAGTTTTACTTCTGTCACGGAAAAACCCTTTTCTGAGAAAAAGCTCTTTTTTAGTTAGTTTTACTTCTTCTAGGGAAAACACTCAATTTTCAATGAAAACAGTGGAATTCGTTAGTTTTACTTCTTGTAGTGAAATCAATTTTTTCTAAAAAACAGTCTATTATAGTACGTTTTACTTCTTTCACGGAAAATGCTTTTTTTTCTCCTAAAAATGCTGTATATAGTTAGATTTACTTCTTCAAGTGAAAACACTCCATTTTGGAAGAAAACAGGGGAATTTGTTAGTTTTACTTCTTTTCACGGAATACACTTTTTTCTGTACAAAGCAGTTCGATTGCGGAATAATTAGTGGTTGTAATGATGCTTGGAATATTTTAATGAAATTTTTCATTATTTATTTAGTACTCGCAAACTATTGGATTCTCAGGTGATTGGGTGGTGTTGTTATGTTTTTCTGGATGTACTTAATTACTGAAATTAATCCCACCACATTTCAAGTCTGAGAGAAAATCATATTTGGTGAAAAACGCATAAGGGTCCCCTTACGCTGCTTTTTTCCAGGTCGAGACAAAACGATAAATGCGATTTTGTTCAAAATCACAGTATAGGTAATTCTGAAGATGCGATTCCGTCCATAATCGAAAGTTCGATTATGAATAATTAGTGGTCGTAATGATGCTTGGAATATTTTAATGAAATTTTTCAATATATATATATATATATATATATATATATATATATATATATATATATATATATATATATATAATTACATATATATATATACAGTATATATATATATATAATATATATATATATATATATATATATATATATATATATATATATATATATATATATATATATATATATATATAATGTATATATATATATGTATATATATATATATATAATGTATATATATATATATATATATATATATATATATATATATATATATATATGTATATATATAATGTATATATATGTATATATATATATATACATATAAGAATGAGTATGCACCCATTTTAATGCATGTTAACGGCCAGGGGCCATAAGAATGAGTGGCGCAATAGCCTTAATGGGCGTATTAACGCGCAAGCAGGAGGCCATAAAAATGAGTGGCGGTAATCGCCACGGCTATTAACGGCGGCAGGAGGCAATAAGAATGAGTGGGCGTTATCGCCACGGGCGATAACGGTGCAGGGGCCATAGAATGAGTGCGCAACGCTTTCTTACGGGCTTATTAACTGCGGCAGGCCATAAGAATGAGTGGCGGCACCTTTCACGGCGATTAACGGCGCAGGGGGCCATAAGCAGTGGCGGCAACGCCACGCGGCTATTAAGCGCAGGGGGCCATAAGAATGAGTAGCGCAACTCACCACGGCGATTAACGGCGCAGGGGCCATAAGAATGAGGGCGTAACGCTAAGGGCGATTAACGGCAGGGGGCCATAAGAATGAGAGTGGCGTACCACGGCTTATTAACCGCGGCAGGAGGCCATAAGAATGAAGGGCGCAACGCTTACGGGCATTAACGGCGCAGGGGGGCTAAGAATGAGTGGCGGCAACGCCTTTAAGGCCATTAACGCGGCAGGGGGCCATAAGAATGAGTGGCGGCAATCGCCGTTTAGCGATTAACGCGTGCAGGGAGGCCATAAGAATGAGTGGCGCAACGCCCACGGGCGATTAACGGCGCAGGGAGGCCATAAGAATGAGTGGCGCAATCGCCTTACAGGCGATTCAACGGCAGGGAGGGGCCATAAGAATGAGTGGCGGTAACGCCTTCACGGCGATTACCGGCGCAGGGAGGCCATAAGAATGAGTGGCTGACAATAAAACCTGGCGGTGCGGCAGGGAGGCAAGTATGCTTTGCTTGTAGGTTTTAAAAAGCCTTTATAGATACAGGGTATTCTTAAATATGTAGACCATCTTTACGATACGAAGAAGTTAGTTTTCACGTTGTCAAAATATTGATTTTTCCAAAAATAAGCTTGACCTAAATCCCTTAGTCTCCAGCATTTGTAAGAAAGTAGTTTAAATTTCATACTAAGGTACTTTACACGATTTTAAATCTTGGTAATTGTGTTAATATGAGGGCAACTGGTGAACTCTTTTAATGCTGGCTGACTGGCTTTTCCTCTAGTCTTCCTACGCTGCCAGACATACCATGCAATGCCTGCCTCGGCCCCAGCTTGCTGGCACGGAGGGGTTCGAGACACTTGCAATATCACTTCCCGTCGGCCACCTCGCGCTCGGTGCGAGTGTATATACGTTTTAAAAATACAATACTGGAAAAGGCAGGAACTGTACCAACAAATGGGGTATTTTTAGGGGGGAGGGGGTTCAGTTCAACTTAAATATAGTATTTTGCCAGTAATTTTGTGCTAAATTAATGCTGTACTGTATAATAGGTAAATGATTAAATTTGAACAGTAACTATTGTGTACCGATCATAGTTAATGTTAGTGATCAAATATTACAGGTTATACCTACTAATTGTGCTGTGAGGGTTGTTCTCTGAATTGTTGTTATACAAGTTGATTTGTTCTGATATAAGTGGATATTTGGACTTGATATAAGTATAATTTGTCTATAAAGGTTGACGGTTTAATGACTTATTTCAGATTTGAGTGGGAGGTGGATGACCTTTGTAGGGTATTTGACCTTGGCTGAAGCCTTTATATACAATATACAGGTGAGCATAAATTAAATTTACCATAGTTAAAAAGAAATAGTTTTATTGGTGAATACTGTGAGGTTCCCTCTGCTTTTAAGCCATTATTTACATCTTCGTCCAATTTGCCGTAAGTTTGTGATAATTTTGTTTGTTTTTCAGTAATATTAGGAACGTAATGTTTGTGCTTAGTAGACTACTGCTCGTCTCAGACTTGCTAGCTAGTCACCTACGCCTACGGCGCATTAGACGAAGGGTAATTTGCGATACATTTTTGGGGAAAAAAGAAAGTCTTGTACAAGGGTAAATTTTAATAATTTTTCTATAAATGTTGACGTTTTTATTTTTTATTTCAGAAGTGTGTGGGAGGTGGAAGAGCATTCTTGGCTATTTGACATTGGCTGAAGTCTTATAAAGGTGAGCATAACTATTGTTGTACAATGTTCCTGACTTGCATAACCTGTTGGAAGAGAATTATGAGCAAAATTTGTTGTATTCATAAGTTTCAAGAATGGATATTTAATTATTATAGAAAGAGTGGCTCATGTAAGGTTAGATTTTATACTACTACTGTGGTAAGGCTACATGAATAGTAGTTTAGGCAAAGTAATTATATCTAATGTAGAAGCCAAAGTGTGTGTGGTTTAATATGTTACGATGTATTACAGTGTAGAAGAAGAAGAAGAAGAAGAAGAAGAAGAAGAAGAGAAGGAAGAAGAAGAAGAAGAAGAAGAAGAAGAAGAAGAAGAAGAAGAAGAAGAAGAAGAAGAAGAGAAGAAGAAGAAGAAGAAGAAGGAGGAGGAGGAGGAGGAAGAAGAAGAAGAAGAAGAAGAAGAAGAAGAAGAAGAAGAAGAAGAAGAAGAAGAAGAAGAAGAAGAAGAAGAAGAAGAAGAAGAAGAAGAAGAAGAAGAAGAAGAAGAAGAAGGAAGAAGAAGAAGAAGAAGAAGAAGAAGAAGAAGAAGAAGAAAGAAGAAGAAGAAGAAGAAGAAGGAGAAGAAGAAGGAGAAGGAGGAGGAGGAAGAAGAAGAAGAAGAAGAAGAAGAAAGAAGAAGAAGAAGAAGAAGAAGAAGAAGAAGAAGAAGAAGAGAAGAAGAGAAGAAGAAGAAGGAAGAAGAAGAAGAAGAAGAAGAAGAGAAGAAGAAGAAGAAGAAGAAGAAGAAGAAGAAGAAGAAGAAGAAGAAGAAGGAGGAAGAAGAGGAAGAAGAAGAAGAAGAAGAAGGAGAGGAGAGGAGAAGAAGAAGAAGAAGAAGAAGAAGAAGAAGAAGAGAAGAAGAAGAAGAAGAGGAGGAGGAGGAGGAGGAAGAAGAAGAAGAAGAAGAAAAGAAGAAGAAGAAGAAGAAGAAGAAGAAGAAGAAGAAGAAGAAGAAGAAGAGAAGAAAGAGGAAGAAGAAGAAGAAGAAGAAGAAGAAGAAGAAAGAAGAAGAAGAAGAAGAAGAAGAAGAAGAAGAAGAAGAAGAAGAGAAGAGAAGAAGAAGAAGAAGAAGAAGAAGAAGAAGAAGAAGAAGAAGAAGAAGAGAAGAAGAAGAAGAAGAAGAAGAAGAAGAAGAAGAAGAAGAAGAAGAAGAAGAAGAAGAAGAAGAAGAAGAAGAAAGAAGAAGAAGAAGAAGAAGAAGAAGAAGAAGAAGAAGAGAAGAAGAAGAAGAAGAAGAAGAAGAAGAAGAAGAAGAAGAAGAAGGAAGAAGACCCTACACAACTCCTGGCCCACTGTCTTTCTTTTTCACAGAAGAAGAAGCCCCTACACACAACTCTAAATTACTAACTTTGTAGTAGTCATATTAAACTAGTTGTCAAATTTTTCTACTTCGGCCGTGGAAAGTGGTTGGTCACGGCCAAACTATTTGGCCGAATTTTGTGTTAATACCTCATCTAGTGGATTTTGAAGACATGTCTAACAGATTTTCAAATTTCTCAATTGAAAGGTGACTGTCCTTACTAGTTACTGCCTTAGTTGTTAGTTCTCATATTTGAGTTGTTCAGACTGAACGTGTCCAGCATATGGGTTAAGCTTTATAGCAGTGGTTCTCAACCTTGTTTGCCTCATGCACTCTTTTCACCATATGTCAGAATGTCATTCCCCCCTCCTTTCCAAGATTGTCTGCCTCAAAAAGTGCATTCCAAATAATATGCATATAATACTGAAAATCCTTTATTATTTCCATATTAGTATCAGTTTTCCCCCGTCTCTGAAAACCTGAGGGGGGAAATTCCCCCTGGTTGAGAACCCCTGCTTTATAGTTTACAAAGCCATCTGAGTTACTTTCTGAAATTCTGATTGATAGTTTTCAAAATGATTAGTTTTTGCAAAGTGTCTTACGACAGTGGTAGAAAATATAACAAATTATGGGAAGAAAAATTCGTCTGTGTTAGTATAGCCAGTGATGGAAGTGAAAATGCTCCAGTTCCAAGGAAAATGTTGCAGAGATTTGAAAGTAACACCACACATGGTGGAGCTATTTAACTCTGCAATCACGTACGAGAAGGAAGAACCAGGGGACGGTGACGAACTGGACTCCACCATTATCATGCTCCACCACCATTTGAGTTTACGGTAAATCTTCACTGTAGATTATAGATATTATGTTTATGTAATTATTGGGCTCTGAATTATAAGTGAAAATTTTGTTTGATTGCGACATTTTAAGTGCATATTGTGGGGGAGATTTTTATTTTGTGTGGATTGCAAAATATCTTTGTGCTTTCCATCCAAAAAGATTTGGCCGTGAAGCTTGTCGTACATGTGGCAACCCTGTTCCTATACGGTATGTGTTAATTGTGGTTAATTTCATGTTCACGAAGATTTAATGTTAAATATTTTAAGTGTTTATTCGGACGTACTTCACAAGATTTGGTATATATTTTGGCTATAGAGACGTACTGTAGATGTGTGTTCTTATTTTATTGCATTACAGTTGTACAAAGACTACATTACTTAATTTTTAGTTACAATATTATTCATTCGAGGACCGTGAAGACGAGTACACAAGACTGTTAGTTTCCGTTAACGGAACTGTTGTTGCACAAAATCGGAAACATTCTGCTATAACTTAAAGTAGGCCTACAGTACTGTAGCTGTCGTTGTGGTTTTAGTTTTGTTTAAGGATTTGTTCACCTTTAAAAAAAAAAATAGAGTAATTGTTAACTTACTTTGAAATAATTACATATTTAAAGTATGCTTTGCTTGTAGGTTTTAAAAAGCCTTTATAGATACAGGGTATTCTTAAATATGTAGACCATCTTTACGATACGAAGAAGTTAGTTTTCACGTTGTCAAAATATTGATTTTTCCAAAAATAAGCTTGACCTAAATCCCTTAGTCTCCAGCATTTGTAAGAAAGTAGTTTAAATTTCATACTAAGGTACTTTACACGATTTTAAATCTTGGTAATTGTGTTAATATGAGGGCAACTGGTGAACTCTTTTAATGCTGGCTGACTGGCTTTTCCTCTAGTCTTCCTACGCTGCCAGACATACCATGCAATGCCTGCCTCGGCCCCAGCTTGCTGGCAGGAGGGGTTCGAGACACTTGCAATATC